TCTCAAAAGAGCTTTAGGGAAAGGAGAGAAGAGTACCTCCAGGAGGAGAATCATTGGCTTCCTCCCTTCCCCCTGCTCTGGGGGGTGAAAATGACAGATGAGAGCTGAAAAACCCTCTGAAACTGAGGAACAAAAGACCTACTTGGGTGCTAAATCTTGTCTACAAAGATGTTCTTGGTTGCCCCTTCCAGCTGCTTGTTGTCTGCAGTGAAGCAGCTCAATCATCCTGAGCAACTCACTATGATAGGTTGTCACACTGAGTCTTTAAGCAAATACATTTGAATCATGGGATGGGTTGGGTTGGGAGGGACCTTCAAGATCACCTAGATCCACTCCCTGCACGGGCAGGGACACCTCCCACCAGCCCAGGCTGCTCCAAGCCCCATCCAACCTGCCCTTCAACACTGCCAGGGATGGGGCTTCCAAAACTTCACAACCTGTTCCAGGGTCTCACCACCTTCACAGTGAAGAATTTCCTCTTCATGTCCCACCTCAATCTCCCTCTTACAGTTTCAAGCCATTCCCCTCACCCCATCACTCCAAAGTCCCTCACCAGCTTCTCTGGAGTCCCCTCTTTGTAAAACTTGATGCTCTCGTCACATGTCTGAGTCCTTGAAGCTCCTTTTGGTGATGGTGTCCAGCTTCTCACCACTCAGCTCTCAACAGAATGGAGTTGAAAGTGGCTTGACCCTCCAGGAGAGCGAAGCCTTGGTGTGTTTGACCAAAGGGAGGGGTTTGAGGTCCCACATCTTTGGCAAAGCTCCTTCTGAATCACAAGGTGGGGCACAGAGTTTGGTTTCCAAAAGTTAACCCAAACATTCCTCATTCCCCTCCTTTGATCCCAGGTCTCTGCTGTGGTTGGTAAACTCTTGAAGGATCATCTACATAGATCATCTGGAACCTGATCCACTGGAGACCCTTTCCCCTGTTGGGGAAGGGAAGGGGAGCAAACTGGGAAGGGTTGGGTTACATGCTGGAGTGCTGGGAGGTATTTGGAGGTGGCCCAGTTGGTCAACAGCTGCAGGCCTCTGCTCTCATGGGAATGGTCCACCTGCTGGAGAGCTTGGGAGGGCAACCAGAGGGAGCTGGAGAGGCTGGAAGGTGGGGCCATGCCTTGACCTCATGGAGATCAGCCAGGCCAAGGTCCTGGCCCTGGGTCAGGACACAAATCCAGGCTGGGGGAGGGTGGATGGAGAACAGCCCTAAAGAGAAGGGCCTGGGGGGATGGTGGGTAAGAAGCTCAAGAGGAACCAAGCCAGGAACCCCTGTGTCCTGGGCAGCATGAAAAGAAGCATGGGCAGCAGGGCCAGGGAGGGGACTGTCCCCTCTGCTCTGCTCTGGTGGGACCCTCCTGGGGAACTGGGGCCAGGTCTGGAGCCCCCAGCACCAGAAAGACACGGAGCTGGTGGAGTGAGGAGGCCACGGAGATGATCCGAGGGCTGGAGCAGCTCTGAGAGAGTTGGGGTGTTCAGCCTGGAGAGGAGAAGGATCTGAGGAGACCTTGGAGCACCTTTGAGTGCCTGAAGGGGCTCCAGGAAAGCTGGGGAGGGGCTTGGGACAAGGGCAGGGAGGGATGGGATGAGGGGAATGGATTAAAACTAGAAGAGGGAGATTGAGGTGGGACATGAGGAGGAAATTCCTCACTATGAGGGTGGTGAGACCTTGGAACAGGGTGTGAAGTTCTGGAAGCCCCATCCCTGGCAGTGTTGAAGGGCAGTTTGGATGGGGCTTGGAGCAACCTGGGCTGGTGGTTGGTGTTGGATCTAGGGGGATTTGATCTAGGTGATCTTGAAGGTCCCTCCCAACCCAACCATGCTGGGATTCTGTGTATCTTCAAGGAAGAAGGTTCTCGTCTAGAAGCCGGATTCCCATTATTTCCACCCTGAGCACTTCCTGGTGATTTTGGAAACGAGAAGAGAATCTTTCCCTTTAAAAGAACAAAAAGAGCTTCTCAACAGGTGTTTCTCCCTGGGGGAGCTTGGGCTTTGCAGGCCCTCCTAGACATGGAGAGCTCCAGTTATGGAGGCTGATGCCTGCTGGGAGGAGCACCAGGCTTTGCAGAGGCCCAGCTGGGCTCTGGTGTCACCACAAAGGCATTTGCTGGGAGGAAATGCTTTCCATGCCCCTAATTTTAGAACCCTGGCTCAGCTCTGGGACTTGTCTCCTCCTCGTTAGTCTCACAACTGGGGCAGATGTAACTTTTCTAACCAGCAGGACTTGGAAGCCTCTTCTCTCTCCCCTGTCAGAGGACACGGTTGGTGTCTACAAGCCAGACTCCATTTTTGAGCCCATGAATCATGTTTCCAGCCACTTGGGGGTATGTGTGTGGGGTGTTGGGTTTTTATTTTTAAACCTTTCTCACTCACTTTGGTTCCTTTGTCAGTGACAGAAACCCTGTTGCTCACATCAGCTGCCTTGTCATGGGGTGGGGTGGAACTTCTCAGTGGTGAGACCTGGCCAAGGGCGTTCACCTCCAACCTCTCACCTTGCAAGACACCTTCAAGAATCCTTCAGACTCTGCAGCTGCCTCAGAATCATCTCCATCTGCTCATGTTGCTGGGCATGTAGCCCAGGACGTGGCAGGGGGGTGTTCCTGGCTTGGTTCCTCTGGAGCTTCTCTACCCACCTCTGCCCCCAGGTCCTTCTCCTCAAGGCTGTTCTCCATCCAACCTCCCCCAGCCTGGATCTGTGCCCCAGCCCAGGACCTTGGCCGGGCTGATCTCCGTGAGGTTTGGGCAAGGCCCCACCTCTCCAGCCTGTTCAGCTCCCTCTGGATGTCCCCCTGCCCTCCAGCCCATCCACCCCCACAGCTTGGTGTCCTCAGCAGGTTCCCCAAATGTTTGCCCTGAACCCATAACACTGTTGAGCTGCAATTCTGAGCTCTTGGGCTAGGCTGAGCTGGGTCTTGGTTGCCCTTCTTCTTGTGTGTTAAGTTGGAGAGCTGGAGGATCACAAAACCACTGAAGTTTTTTGCTGATCAGCAGGAGCTTAAACCTATTCAATCGCAACCCCTTCTTGAAGACCCTAAGTTTGGTTCCTCTGGTTCCTCTGACTTCAGGGCCCCCTGGTTCAGAAAATCCCTTTGCTGGCAGGACCTTTTGGTGATGAAAACAGGATGTTGTTTATTCTGAGGAGCCCTGGGTTGTGTCTGCTGGACTTCATTGCCTTGGTGACTGTGCACTTGGCCAGAGGAGCTGCAAGGGCTGCCAAGGTGCCCTCAGCTGATGAAGTTGTTTCTTCTCTCTCTTGTGCCTCCAGATGGGTCTTACTCCCTAGATTTCCTTGAAGAGGAGAAAAAGGTTGTCGTTTTGGCCTTTAGTGAAAGGTGGAAGCTTTGGAGACCTTCTTGCAGCCTTTCAGGACAAGAAGGGGGGTGACAGGGGTGATGGAGGGAGATCTCGAACATATAGTGACAGGAGCAGGGATGACAGTTTTGAACAGAAAGAGGGTGGATTTAGTTTGGAAACGTTTCGTCATGAGGCTGGTGAGACCCTGGAGCAGAGAAGCTGTGGCTGCCCCATCCCTGGAGGTGTCCAAGGGCAGGTTGGATGGGGCTTGGAGCAACCTGGGCTGGTGGGAGGTGTCCCTGCCCATGCAGGGGTTGGATCTAGAGGGTCTTGACGGTCCCTTCCAAACCAAGTAATTCCATGATTCTATGACAATTAAATTGGAGTGCTCTAATTAAGGTGTCTGCCTCCCTGGAGGTGCCCAAGGGCAGGTTGGAGGGTCTTGCAGTGCCCTGGTCCAGTGGGAGGTATCCCAGGGGGTGGGATGTGGATGATCAGGTCCCTCCCACCACTGCAGCCAATTAGCAATGAACCTGTCACGCGGTTCATTTGCCACCCGGGGGCTGGACACAGAGGTGGGACCCCTGCCCGGGACCCCTGAGAGGGCTGGGCTGGGAGGCTGGGGGGAGGCAGCTGGTGGGCTGGGCCTGGCACCAGGTGAGGGGACTGGGGGGTCCCTGTCCCAGGGGTCCCAGCCTGCGGGGCGGGCTGGGCTGGGCTGGCAGCATTTGGGTGAGGGGCCTTGGAAGGAGCTGGGCCTGGCCCAGGGGGAGTCTGGGCCGGCCCAGGGGGAGTCTGGGCTTTCCCAGGGGTCTTGGGGGAGCTCTTGTGGCCCTTTCCAGGAGTCTTGAGGCTCTGGCCCTTCACAGAATCCCAGAATCCCAGGGGTTGGAAGGGACCTGGAAAGCTCCCCCAGCCCAGCCCCCCTGCCAGAGCAGGGGCACCCAGAGCACATCACACAGGAACGTGGCCAGGGGGGTTGGAATGTCTCCAGAGAAGGAGACTCCACAGCCTCTCTGGGCAGCCTGGCCCAGGGCTCTGTCACTCTCACAGCAAACAAGTTCTTCCTGAGATTCACATGGAACCTCCTGGGCTCCAGTTTGCACCCACTGCCCCTTGTCCTGTCACTGGACATCACTGCACAAAGTCTGGCTCTGTCCTCCTGACACTGCCCTGAACAGATTTGTGCCCATGGATGAGGTGGCCCCTCAGTCTCCTCTTCTCCAAGCCCAACAGACCCAGCTCCCTCAGCCTTTCCTCAGCAGGGAGATGTTCCTGGGGGGTCCTCTGTGGCCCTTCCTCCTGTGGGCCTTGAGGGGCCTCTGGCCCTTCTTGGGGGTCTTGGCGGGGCCTCTGGCCCTGAGCTGTGGGATGAGGAGCTGCTGGAGGAGCCCTCAGAGGTGTCTGGGTGTTGGGGGTGTCCTGGTGTCTCTGTGTCACCTCAGGTGGGTGGAGACACCACCTTGTTGGGCTCCTTTGTGGCAGGGAAAGGTGAGAGGGTGGGCAGCCTGACCTGCTGTGATGAGGGACTTGTTCTCCTGGAAACAAGTGGTGCAGAGGGTGTTTAAAATGTCAGGTGAGGACACTTGGCCTGATCTCTCGACTCAAAGTTGTGTATGTCTTGTTTCCACGCTGAGGAGCACCTGGTGACTCCTGGGGACCTGGAACGGCTCACTTGGTGCTCAGGTGGAGAGAGGAGCAGTGATTGGGGTGGGTTGGCACCTGGTAGGTCACAAAAACACTGCATGTCAGGTGCTGCTTGTCCAGAGAGACTTGGAACCCTCTGGAGGCCCCACAGACTGACTTTGATTAGCATGGAGAGTCAACAGCTGTGTCAGGCTGGAGGGGACAAGCCTTTAAAGGCCCAGTATTGGAGCGGGATGGAGGAAGAAGCTGGCTGGTCTCCCAGGCCAGGTTGGCAAGAAGTTCCCACCAGCCTGAGGGCACTTATTGCAGAAGTATTTCATGGTTGGTTGGGCAGGCTGGTGCTTTCAAAGCCCCTCTGGCGGCAGGACCAGGAAGCTTCCAGCTCCTTCCCCAAAAATAGGATGCTGGCTTGGATGACTGGTCTCAGAAGCTGAACCTTGGGAGGGTGTGGGAATGAGGTCAAGCCAACATGGTCATTTGTCAGTGCTCAAACCAAAAGCAGGGTCATTTCCCGGCTTCCTTGGCAGCTTCTTGGGGTTTCCAGGGGAACAAAGAACTCCTGGATGCTTCAGGAGGGAAA